AGTAACAGTAAATACATTTATAATGTTACAAATCTATTTCAAATAAATGCTGGTCTTTTCAACTTTCTATTCAGTAAAAAAAAATCCTGAAAAATCACTAATTTCCATAAAAATATGAAGCATGACACCGAAGACTGGTGTAATGATGCTGAAAATTCAGATTTGCATCACAGAAATAAAATACATTTTAAAATATATTGAAATAGAAATCAGTTACTTTGAATTGTCAAAATAGTTCATAGTATTACTGATTTTATTGTGTTGTTGATTAAACAAATGCAGCCTTGGTGAGCATGAGAGACATTAGAATTAACGTAAACCTGTATGAAAGTAGACAGTCAAGCTCCAAAAAGGGGTTTTTCGTGGTATTTTTATTAAACACATGAGCGCATTTCATTACATTTGTGTGGTAAGTTTTGTGAAGCAATGCTAAAATGTATTAAATTAAACAAAAAATATTGCTTTCCATTTTCCATTTATTTATTTGCCATTTTTGGAGCTTGACAGTCGCATTCCCTACCCTTTGAATTTTTTGGAAACCAGCATTAAGATTTTTCAAAACATCTGCTTTTGCATGAAGAAAGAAAGTCATCAAGACAGCGAGTACCGGATGACAGAATTTTGGGGTGAACTGTTCCTTTAACTCCGTCTGCCACATAAAACGAAACTCATTAATGATACACCGCCACTAATTTGTGTCACGTTTCACAAGAGCGTTCCAGCTTTCTCTGAGGCACAAAATTATGCGTAATTAGCCGAGGCATTCAAAGCCATGCGGCTGTTAAAAACCTCATTCCAGGAACAGAATGAGAATCCTCCAGCTGGATTTCTCCACTTGTGAGATACGAAGTGGCTTATGTGATATTATTCTCTAAAGAAGTTATCTCTATGCCATGGCAGTCTATTAAAGTTTGGAAAGTCTTATTGCGGTGACAGACCCTGCAGAACGAGAGAAGTCCAATGCAAACTCTCAGTCTCCCTCAACACCTGAACACACGCACAAACCATCTGGCGTAGAGGTACCATTCTGTCATAGACCACCGGGGCCTGCGAACGTCACTGCTTTGAGTGTCTGCTGACACGGGAAGCAGCCGCTGACACTGGGAGGCTAGAAACACTTTTAAACAGAATCAGTTTAAACATTTACTCTGCCTGCAGAGTCACACAAACACTCTTGTTTTTACCAAGTTTTAAAAGACCCTCTTTAAACGTTAATCTCTGCATAGCCCAGCATAACGTCAATACAATATGAAGCCAAAGCGTCTAAAATGTCTGCCAACTTGAGAAACTTTCTTATAGAATATGTCTGCCAACCCAAAAAACACGGGCTCTGTTCCAAATGCTAGTGAGCTGCCTTTCTACCTACTGTCTACTTTGGCAGCTGCCTTCTAAGGCAACATCCCAACAGAACTGATTTGAAAAGTGTAACGAGTCTGTTAATCGATCAATCGAGTCACACATACCGCACTCCTCATGTAAAGCGTGTAAGACATTCATCTAGTGCTTGTAGTTGATCACAGTAGTCTAGACATTGGCATGTTGTTTAGCTAACAACTGAGTACTCAAATAAACGCAAATCCATAACATACACAAATATTGGGCGAAATTATTTTGTGTTTCATCAGCTATTTATTTTAGCAATATTTTACAGTAATATATCAAATTATATTGATACATATTTATCACTGTTTGAATATATTTTCATAAAATTCAGCTATATAAAAGTGATGCAGGAAACATTTTCTGATCAGTTAAACTGCATGATTTTTCCATGATTTTCACAATAATTTGTGAAAAAAATCATAAGGCTTGTTGACTATAGAAATATTGCAGAAATGTCAATGATCTTTAAGATTTTATTAATGTGACTTTACCAGGACTGGGAAAAAAAAATACAAAAAACTAAATAAATAAAAATAAATTAATTGATAGACAGACAAAAGATAAATAGAATGACAGAATGATAGACCGAATGACAGAGATAGATAGATAGATAGATAGATAGA